TAAAAAAAAAAGAAAAAAAATGTATAAAGAACTCTTTTGATTTGATGATAAAAGATGATGAAAATAGTCAAGTTTTAAAATAGGCAAATGAGCTTAGAAGACAATTACAAAAGTAAATGTAAAAATGGTCAATACACACATGAAAAGATGCTAAGAAAAAGAAAAAAAAAAGAAAAAGACAGAAAGAAACCTGCAAATGCCTGCCTCAGGAGCCCTTTCCTGACCGCCTGTGTTAGCTGCACCACAGAACAGATCAAGTGGTTTCCCTGCTCCCTCAGTGCATTTTCTGAGTCTCACCTCTTTCCCCTGGGCCCCATACCCTGAGTCTTCCACTTCTGATTCATTGCAGCCCGTGCCCACCACCCCTCCACCCTGCAGTGGGGATGGGAAACTGGTCCTAGCAGCGGGAGGCCAGGCCAGGAACAGGTGCTAGCTTCTCCCAGTGCTGTGTCCCACTTCCACTGCTAACCGCTCCCTGGCCTCTCTCAACCAAACCCCCCTTTTCAAGTCTCACCCCTCAGACCTACTTACGTTCCCCAACATCCTGCAGAATGACTCTATAGACTTCTCTCGTTGTACCTCGGGAGAAGATAGTCCTCGTCTACCTCTGTACAGTCTCCCAAAAATTTAAGCTGACATCTCTTGTTTAGTAGCATCACCCCTTCTGTAATTGTAGAGCCGCACTCTCTATTTCTTTATACTTTTTTTTTTGGGATTCCTTGCTGCGCACTTAGTTATGTTTCTAGAGTAAGAAAATACAAATATTTGTGTTCTGTATGTTAGAACCAGAAGTGTCAACTTTTAGTTATATACACTTTTATGTATTCTAATTTAGTATGTTTATTCAGAGAACACTGTGTGTTACCTCAAATCAACTCTACCTACCTAACAACTATTTTCAGGAGGATGTTGCCAAAATCACTTTAATTCTCTGTTATTTTCTAGGGAGTTCAGACAACTGAACTCCTTCCTACAATCATCTTTGTTTGTTTCTTTCTTTTTTTTTCTTGCATGGACTATTACCTAGACTCCAGAAATGTGGCCAATAATTGATGAGGCAAATGTCTCATCAATTTCTCAGTATGGAGGAAGATAGACAGGAAGGAGTTTTATAAAAAGAAACAGATATCAAAATAAATAAATAAATAAATAAATAAAAACAAAATACTAAGATTGACCAAATAATTATTTTAAGAAAAAAAGGGTTATTAAAATATGACTTTAAGGAAAGTTGAATCAAAAATCACATATTTGAAAGGCAGTTGAGTAGTTTCTATCACTACATGACAAATGCGAAATTCCAGTGAGCCATTCATTCAACAACATGTATACACGGACCCCACATTCACACAGAAGACACCATTATCTAGCAAAAAAAAAAAATCTATATAAAATATTCTCATAATTTCCCAGATTCCTTCCATTTATGTACTTGGTTTTTACTGCTTTAAAATGTATTTATTTTTGGTTTAAGAATGGATGCACACATGTATTTACTAATTCATATAATGTATGTATTGCATGTAGGTTTCTTCATTTTTATCTCCCAAATTTTAGTCAGTTTGTTAGTTTTCCTTTTAATATATTACTTGAATGTATTTTTATTGAGTATATTTCTTACACTTTTGTCTACCTGAAAGAATGTATTTCTTTCTATACTGTACCATACTCAAGTATGGGCTGATAACTGCTTCTCATGTAGCTCTGACCTTGATAAAATGGAAGATTTTCTACTTGGATTGACCTTATTTTAGATCCTGACTCTTCCACCTACTCAAAGGGAAGCTGAACACCATATTCTCCACTTTGCAGGTTGTTATAAAGATTAAACCATATAACACATATAAAGAAATTGACTAGTGCAGGTGTCCAATTAATAAAACCATGAAAATCAGAACATGAGAAGAAATTGAAACCTTAAACTCTGTAAGAGTACATTTTTCCTGAGTGAATAATTTTCACGTCTGTTTTTAGGCATAGCCTCAGTGACAACTTGGTCAATTAGAAACAGCTTGTCAGACA